ATGTAGTGGGTGAAGGGGGAGGACTGGTGCGGGTCCCCTGCTCTCCCTCACCTGCTCATGGGCTGAGCTCCCAGGGCTGACGCAGATTTTTCCCAACGGTTGGCACTGCTATGTCTGCATTTTTTCCCTTGTAACTTCATGGGCCCTCCATGGACTAATCCCCAGTTTTTAATTTCTTGTCATGGCTTGCTGCATTTTCTTTCAGTAAATGTTTGCAAATGATTTCGTGAAGTCATGTTTTTGGCTCATTCCAGCTGCTGATTTTGGCTGCGATGCTGCTGAGAGGGTTAGCTGAGGTCAGTGAGAGCCTCGCTCGGGTTTGCTGGTCGGCAAACTGGTGTAGCCCAAAGGGACCCAGTCTGAGGATGTTCCCAGGGGGCTCTTTACACGGGGAATGGGATAATTCCCCACGGTTGGATGTGGTCACAGAGTGAGGGCTTGATGGCTTGGTTCAAGTTTAAGATTGATAGCCTTGCTCTTGGTTTTGCTGGGAGGCATCTTGGATTTTGGTGATTACATGTTTCTTTTTGCTCAGGAGCATCTCTGGTTTGCCTTGTTGTTACTGTTGAATTTTTTTCTGTGTTTCTTCACTGGGCTCTGTGTGCCAGAGATCGAGAAACATGCTGGATTCTGGATTATCATGCAAAATTAGAGATACTCAATAAACATTAGGAGATGACATTTTGCCATGAAAAACTTTCTGCTGAACATCTTCTCTCATCACCTGCAAAAACATTGGAGGGTAGTACTTGGAAGGACGTTCAGGGCTGTCCAACTTGTGAAGTGAGAGTCCAACTCTGGCCTTCCCATGGATGCCAGGAACAGCCAACACTTTGTAAGACATTTTCCAGCTGTTTTTGAATGCAGCCGAAGGGATCAGGTGAAAGATTAGCTGCACTTCTGAAAACCTTTCCCCTGCACAGCCTGCATGTGTGCAGAGGGCAGCGTCCGTGTGCTCTGGGCACACAGCTTTACCCCTCCTGCTGCTGTTCGGTTCAGAATTGCTTCTTATGTGGTCAGAGATGTGGGTATGGGCTCCAGCTGCTTATCTCAGAGATGAAGGCTGGGCTTCTAATTAAGTTCCTCACAAATCCCAAGTTCTTTGTTTGCCGTGCTAGAAGTGCCATCAGATAGCAGAGGCGGCATGAGATTGGCCGTCAGATGCTACCCTACTGCAGCAGAGAAATGTCAGTACTGCCTAAGGAAGAGAGAGAGAGAAAGAAAAGGATTCATGGGCTTTTGAGCCTTTGAGAGGTCATTATAGTCTTTTGTTTTTTCCTGACATACTGGACAACACAAACTAAAATTTCGTCTACTTCTTTGTCAGCGTATTAATTTCTGGTGAATTCAAATAGTGTTTGAGAGGGTTAGTTACTCATTTTAGTGGAAACTGGGTTCAACATTTTCATCGTTTAATTTTATATACCTCTTACAGTAAGGCAGGTAACTGTTCCAGTGCAAAGCATCAGTACTGTCTCTGTTGGAGTCACGGCTTGCACACCTGCTTTTCAGCCCAATTGTCAAAAAAAGACTGGAGCTGCTTCCCAGAGAAAACACCCCACCTTTACCAGGCTGTGACAGACCAGCCATTTCCAAAATTCACCAGGAGATTCCATGTAAGGGAAGAACAGCAATGGCCAATCTTTCATTTTCTGTCACAGCCCCCGGGTGTGGAGGCGTGTGTACATCCACAGGCTGAGTAACCTGCAGGGATGTTGCGGCTGCGCAGAATACAGGAACGTATTTCATGTACTGCATAATTATGTTTAAAGAAAACATTTTCAGTGCTGGTTCCCATGCACAGATGCAATTGAGAGGTCTCAGCACAGCGTACAATACGTTTATCAGGGATGTAAGTTAACGGTAAGAGACCAACCATCCTTTGAAATGATATCCCACTCTTTTGTTGGAGCAGGTCAGCGTGAGTTTGACTGCCATGAAAGGGAGACCTCTTCATATGCTGCGTTGACACTCTTTTTAGAGTGCATGACTTATATTCACTTTCAGGGTCCTGCTAGCCTGCGATAGGGGGTTGCAGTACCTGGGAAACAAGCTTAGAGAAACCTGTCCAGAGTGGTTTAGGGTGCTGGTGGATCACTCCAGCCCTTGGTACACTTGTGCTTCAAAGCCCTGTTTTTATAGAGCAAGAGAGCCAGCAGCACTGAGCTCGTGCCTGACAGCTGGGGAAGGTGCTGTTTGATCGGGTGTCCCATAGGTCAGCTCACTCCTGTCAGAGGCAAGGATTAATTCAGAGGGGGTTTTGCTCTCAGAAGCCAGACGGGGGGATGTGTTCCAGCAGTGGATGAATTTGAAGCCTTCGCTCTCCTCCTGCCTCCTTTGAGCACCCAACACGGGGTAGATGGTGCCTAGAGTTACCCAAATGAGGTTTCTCAATCTGCGGGTCCAATGCACAAATTAGAGCTGGCCGGTCAAATTGGAACAGTCATTTTGGTTTGAATGTTATATTTTGGTTTTTCAGGGCTCAAAACAGCCCACCTCAAGGGATGGCCCTTGGCTAATCCTCATTGTCCTAACAAAAAGGGTGTTTTAAGCAGCCAGGAATGCATTTATATTGGCTCTCAGTTTGTTGCATCGGATGCCTTCACTTGGTGCAATTTTGGCATCATGTGGAATAAAGCAAGCAAATCGGAATGTAAACACACTTTTATAACCCAGGGCTCTGAACTGGTCTGGGAATGGGCGGTCCAGTTTAGGTTTTGGTCTTATATGGTTGAGCAGGAA